TAATACGACTATAGGCTGTTACCAATCAAATGAAATTTATAGTTAAATGTATTTACACTGCAGTTGCAATTGCATAAATAATGCTATGAGAGTAATGTTTGAAAAATAATATTTTGAATATTGAAATAATACATGGTTGTTCAAAAAAATTACATGATACTTTAAATATGAACTAAAACCACCAGTAGGTGTTAATAATGAGTGAGTCAGTGACTAATTCTTTAAATATTAGCATATTCTGCACAAGAATAAAGAACAACTCTTGTCATTTTTGTCATGATGATATTGTTTATTGTTTTCAGCCTCTGCACAACTGGAGTGGTTCGGCTTCACATTAATAACTGGCTTGAGGTCAGTTTCTGCCTTCCACACAAAATCCATCGTGTAGGAGGGAAACACATCCCACCAGAAGCTCTTGAGCGCAGCCTAAAGGCCATTCGGTGAGTTACAGCTTATATCCAGCTTATTTAGCAACGTTTCAAATGTTGTCACATGCCCTCATGTTGCATTTCATTCAGCAAGTTGCATCCAGTTATTTTCTGAAAAAAAAAAAAAAGCTAATTTGCTTTTTTTTTAATGTAATTTGCAAACTTTTAGCAGTGTGATAAGACAAGCAGTATTTTTAAATTCTTTATATTTCTGTTTCTCCTTCATGCAAAAGGATATTTTAAAAATGCTCTTGCGTCTTTATCCAATGCTCTTCAGTTTGATCACATTGAATTATGGGATGCAGTATTCCTCATTTTATTGCACAGTATGTACACTATTTACTTCAACAAGTAAGTAGTATGGTATTATAACCAGTATGCTTGTATGATATTCTAAACATAGCCTTAGCCTCTCCTGATTTCCTGCATTTTCAAGTGCACTTGCTATTAAGACCAGAGTGTAATTTGAACTGCAAGTAGTGTTGTGATGGTGTGCCCCCTGCAGGCCGTATCACGCACTGCTGCTCCTGGACAATGAGAAGGCCTTACTGGCTCAGCTCCCACTGGACTGCTCTCCTGCTCTAGTCCGGCTCATCAAGACCTGCTCAGCCGTGAAGAACCTGCAGCAGCTGGCTCAAGACGCTGACCTGGCTCTACTACAGGTCAAAGACTAGATGGCACTGTGCACCTCCCTTAATGTTTGACACATGGAAATAGTTCACTGGTTTGACAAAGTGGAACTGTAGATGTAGTTTTGGCAAAAATCTAATGCTGTGCTGACACCCACAGGATAAGGGAGTAAAATGAAAAGTTATAGTCGCAGCAGTTGCTTTTGTTATAGTTAGTCTTATACTGCCACCTAGTGGACAGACAACACAAAAAACTACCGTTGTAATAACATTATGCCATAAAATTTTGGATAGAGCTGAAATATTTTTAATCTAAAACAGTGATTCTCAACCCTACTGACTCCGTGGCCCCACTCTTATTTTTTGTAAGTTCAATTTCAGGATTTCAGAAGTTTTAACCTTTCTTCAAGGTTCCCACTCTTTTTATTTTTATTTATTTGTTTGTTTGCCTGTTTATTTTAATGAATGAATTGAATTGACTTTTCATGGTTGAATTTACATGTCATTCGTGGTTTACTGGATTACAATTAATTATATGGATTTTAAGAACATATTTTTACCATTTCTACCTGATAATGTAAATTCATTATTAAAAAAAAGTTATATAAGTTATAAAAAAATATGAATTCACATGACTTGAAATCCAGGTCTAGAAATAATTACAAATTAGGCTACCTCATATATCGAGGTTTTCTACAAATGTGGGAATCTTGGTTCTTTAAAGAAAAATAAAATAATTGTTTAGAGGTTGAATTAAGATAAGAAATATCTGGATTTTTTTAGTTGTTTTCCCTTATTTTAAATCTCATTTTGTCTTATTTTGTTTAGTCATCTTGAGTCCCCTTGGAAGTTTGCTCAGGCCCCCTAGTGGTTGAAAACAGTGATCTAAAATGTTACATTGCTTCCCTCAGGTCTTCCAGATAGCTGCACATTTGGTATACTGGGGTAAAGCCATCATTATCTATCCTCTCTGTGAGAACAACGTGTATATGCTCTCTCCCCATGCAAACATCTGCATGTAAGTATGCTTTCGAGAAAAAACAGTTAAAGCTCTAAATTGGTTTGCATTTTCTGTTGTACACACTGTAAAATCTTCTCATGATTTTCAACAAAAATCTGTAATTCCTTCAAAAATATCAAACATTATTCATGATTTCATGTCTTCCTCTCCCAGCTATTCTCCTTTGGCTGAGCAGTTTGCCCTCCAATTTCCAGGCCATGACCTGCCCTCCATGTTAGCCAAGTTCTCACTTCCTGTGTCTCTGTCTGAGTTCAGGAATCCACTAGATGCCCCTGTGCATGAGGTAAGAGTCTAAAGCGGCCTTTTCACTATTTCTGACAAACAGCAGGTAGGAAGTCATTCATTTCCAATAGTTAAGTAGTACAGGCGCATTGTGGAGTTATGTATAGGAGCATGCAGAATTTTCAGATCCAATTTAAGCTTCAGGAATGTTAACTTTTGGGCTAAACCATATGCGACCAGGTGACCAGATGTGATGCATTTTTTTTATCATATGACCCCTTTAAATTTTACATTTTTGTAAAAACTTTGAATACTTATGAAATAATTATTTTATAATTATTTGCATTGAATAGTCTTAGAAAACCTACATTTTTTTTCTTCAGACATATTGCTGAATATTTATTTTGTGTGGATATATTCATACATTCATTAATTTACCATGTGAATAAATGGAGTAATGGATGCTTCGCAAACAGTTTAGAAGTTCTGTGCAACTGCCACTAGGTGGCGAAATGCGACAATTGCATGTGAATGTTGAAAGATAGTAGTAAGGTGACATTAGAGTAGTGTTGGACTAGTTTCAGATGTTAGCAAATATTTGTTGAAAAGTAAGGCATTTGTGCATTTGGATCTGATTTCATCTCTGTAAGGGTCAGGATTTGTGTGATCGTCATTGTCAGTTAGCCCCTGCTTGTAGATGCTGTAACTACACCATCATGTGTATATCTGAGCAGGCCCAGCTCATTCAGATGGTGGTCTGGATGCTCCAGCACCGGCTGCTGTTTCAGCTTCATACATATGTTTGTCTGATGGTCCTGCCCGTTGAGGAGGAGCCTGGTCTTTGGGAGGAGGAGCCACCCCTAGTCACACGCGTTACAGGCCGGAGTCTGAGCACACCCAGTGCCCTGAGTTTCGGCTCTCCCAGTATGTAACTCAGCCAGCTCCAACTCCACACATAAACACACACAAGTGAAAATATACTCTAATGATCAAATAAAGTCCCAGTAGTTTCTCTCATTTTCCCTCTGCAGCAAGTAGCGATGACATGACCCTCACGAGTCCCAGTATGGATAACTCAAGCGCTGAGCTCCAGACTGGAGGAGACTCTCCTCTCAATAAAAGAATGACAGAAACTCTTCTGGCCAGCCTGACTGAACATGAGCGGCAGGCCATCCTCCGTGTCCCAGCAGCACAGAACCCAGAGGACCTACGCTTGTTTGCCAGGTGACGGAGTGTCTTTTATAGCTCATTTTTCCAATCTCAAACCTAGTTTTGTACAGAACAGTAGGTATGATTACATGCACTAATTTTCATAAATTGGAATGAATTTAGTACTATTCTAGATTCTAAATGTTCTGTTTATGTGAAGCCTAAATGTTGCAACCCGAGTCACATATTTGTTTTGTATGTGCTTTACATGTATTCTGAATATATACTTCTGTTGCCGCATTCAGAAAACCTTTAGAAAGTCACTGCAATAATGTTACTGGAGCTACTGAAAAAGTAGTTGTCATATTTGTCTTGATGCCTAAATAAACATAGGCACATTCATAAAATGAAAAAATGTATGTAAATATACACATAATGGCCCTGTGCATGTGCACAAGGTAGCTTTGAATCTGATTGAGAAAATAGTCAGATTCAAGCATTTACATGTTAATTGTTTTTGGATAATTTTAGATCTACACCATCCCTTCAAAAATCCATTTGAAATTTCATTCGGGCTAAAGCTCAATCGGAGCGATCGAGGTGTTTAGATTAAGGATTTTCAGTCAGATTGAGCCAGTTATAAACATATTATTTTGGTGCATGTAAACTAGTGTCTTCTCGTCTTTCTTTAGGCTGCTGCATTATTTCAGAGGCCATCATCACCTGGAAGAGATCATGTACAATGAGAACATGAGTCGCTCGCAGCTGAAAACTTTATTTGATAAGTTTCGTAGTGTCTTGGTGATAACCAACCATGAGGACCCCATCATCTCTCTGTTCCAATCTCCACCAGACTAAACAGATCATTAAGATTGCATCCAATAGTGTGTATTTGCTTATCATCAGTGGCTTAAATAACCTAATTCAGGAGTGAAATGCTTTCATACCTGCTCAGTTTCATAAGTGGCTTATGTAGTGAGCCTTGCATAATCTACTGTATATAGTTGTATTGACCAAAGATTTTTATGTTGTCATGATTTTACCTCATATGTGGTTTATTTTAATAAACGATTCAGGGGTTGTGATGTATTATTCATCCTTGGGCAGGCATAAAATGGGTATTTCACCCAAGCATCACCAATTTGGAGATCGCTCCCTGATGTCATATATCATCTCCTCAAGCAAACAAGACCCAAAACACATGCCATGATAGCAATTCCAGACCATAAGACTGCATGCCCTGAAGACTGAGTGTGGACGGGAAGAGAAAGAGAAAAGGGGGTTGTAATTGCCTTGAAGTGCAAATGGTTTTCCAAGCATCTGTAAAATCAATGAGCACCAGGAATAACAAGACTGTTATAAAGAAACATGCTATTACAAAAACAGACATGTTCAGAACTCAAACTCAAAGGGTTAGTTCACTCAAACATTACATTTCTCATTATTTACTCACTCTTACGTCGTTCCACCCCGTATGACTTTCTTCTGGTAATTTTGCTGCTCTTTTTGTTCTCGGTACAGTGAAAATGATTAGTCACAAGGAGCTTTCAAGCTCCAAAACTGACAAAACGAGCACTGCAACAGATTTGTGTGTTATATTCTTCTCAACTGGATAGCTTTGTGAGGAAAGATGAGAAGATTATTGCTGAATAACAACTTTAAACTTCAGCTTTTTGCTGTCATATGGCTTTAAAAGACTTGCAGAGAATATAAACAAGTCATGTTACTTTTAGAGGTCTTTTTGTCATTTTTTGACATTTCTTGGACATTCTGCTAAACGTATCCTTTGTTGTTCTACAGAATAACAAAAAACAGTTTTGGAATGACATAGTGAGTAAATGATTCCTTTTTTTATCAAACTATCCTTTTAAAGAGTGATTTCATCACTAAACAACATTTCATGATCAGACTGTCCTTTCCATCTCAATGTTATGAAGATCAATGGAGGATTGCATCTGACGCTCTGCATCTCTGTTCAGCACGCTCACACACGGGTGTCCTCTCAAGTAGAAGCGAAGCGGTTTGGTTGCCCATTCGCCATGAGACTCGACTCCTATCCGGGGCACCGACACCACCTCTCCAGCGCTAACAGTCTCTCGTTCTGGGTCCCTCTCCAGCCACACCTCTGTGTCAGTGGCCAGATCCCTGCGGTCAAAGCAACGCTGTATATTTAGTGCTTGGCACAACTTGGACGGGCCATTGCAGAGCTCTTTTTCCTTAAGGATTTTGGCTCCCGCCTTGCGTTTGGCTGCTCGCAGGCCCCTCATGACATCCTGACCACTTAGAGGCTCCAGCGAGCGCAAGAGCACCGCCGCCCCCTCCCCTGCACACACATATAGTAGAGTAGTTAGCAAGGCTCCATGCCGTCTCCTTCCTGTTGGCTTGTGTCTGTGTGCATACGCTCCTAAACCTTTCTCTAGGTTTATGTAATGTGCCAAATTGACCTATAATGAGAAACAGTTGGAGAGAAGCAAAGCAGCAGCAAAACAAAACACTTGTTTCTTGCATAACTAGCAGTGAGGGATCTGTGGTTACAGCCTTCCGCCTCAATCTCCTGTGAAGCGCTATTCCTATGTGCGTGTGGTCAATTACAGTGATTTTTGGAGCCTCACCTTGGCTGGAGACGTTCATGCAGAGGTAGATGCCGTAGATGGGATAGACGTAGATGGTCCCAGGCTTCATGAACATGGCAGTGTTTCTCTCCGTGCGTTTTCCCCCTGCTGAGTGGGACGCCTTGTCCTCTCCACCCAAATATGCTTCGGTTTCCACAACCCTCCCTCTGAGCTCAGTGCCATCAATTAGCTTCCTCACCAACACCTAAAACACTCAGAAACCAGATGTCACACTCTTTCCACACCCTGAGTCTGTACAGGCATCGTACATCCAGCAGGTGGTGCAAAAGTGTCAAATTATATTAACTGAGAAACATTAGATTACAAATGTTAGTAGTTAGTGGATTTTGTTAATGATATCTCAAATATAGCATTTGTTTGATTGTAAAAACATTAATGTTATAAAATATTATTGCAATTTAAAATAACTTTTCTATTGAAAATGTTTAAAATGTATTCCTGTGATGGTAAAGCTGAATTTTCAGCATCATTACTCCAGTCTTCAGTGTCACATGATCTTTCAGAAATCATTCTGATAGGCTGCTTTGCTGCTCAAGAAACATTTCTTATTTTTATCAGTGTTAAAAAAAACACTTAATATGCTGCTTAATATTTTTGTGAAAAACCTAATAGATTTTTTTCAGGATTCTTTGAATAGAATGTTCAAAAGAATAGCATTTATTTGAAATAGAAATATTTTGTAACATTATAAATGTCTTTACTGTCACTCTTGATCAATTCAACGTGTCCTTGCTAAATAAAAGCATTAATTTCTTACACTAATATTTGAAAAACTTCCACTGAATCAAATTCATGTGATCCAACCAACTTGAAGAAACATGGAGATGAAAACAAAAAACATAAAAGAGAAAATTATATCATATGACTGTGTGTCTCTTACAATATCAGATAATAGTGTTCCTTGATCTGATAAGGCAAGTACTGGTTGTAAAATGTCATGAGGTGTGAACTATTTATGAATTGAAAAAAAAAGAAAAATATTTAGTTGGGGAAAATATGATTTAAAAGTTTTTTTTAAAATACTGTTTTAAATGTATATTTAAAGTGTAAGAAAATATATTACAAGACATTTTTAGAGTCATTAAATGCAATCTTTTCTTCAAAACAGCATAAAAGTTTAAAACCATATTAAGGTAAAGTGCACAGTTCTAAGAACTTGTGACGCGCGTTTTAAACTAGATAACCAACCGCCCTAGAAACCACTAACACAATGTGCTAAAATACTTCAGAACATACGAGCATCCTTGCAACAGCTTTAGCACAGGCAAGCACCACTAACATTTATTTCATAAAATGTAAAAATCTAGATTACCACCCAACATTATAACACTCTTATTTTATTTATGGCTTAAATGAACAAGATAAAGCTGTCGTATATCTATAAAGTAATTACTGGTGTCCCATTAAAAGAGCAGTATGCAAATGGGTGCCATCCTGCCTCTAAAGTCTGTGTTTATTCAAAGTGGGTTCATCTGGTCCACATAACCTTTAAACAGTTGCTTAAAAGGCGCTAAAAGTTGCTACAGCCAGTCGTGCAGGGAGCTTGAGAAAATACAAGGCCACTGGGAACCATGTTTGTGTAATGAGCTCAACAGAGTGTGAAAGCCACAAGTGTCACCTTCTCCGGCTGTCACGCTGGACGAGTGCTTGGTCACACCAAACAACCTATTATGGGTCAGGCCGGATGCCCTCCAAACATGATAATGGCTTTTCATGCTTCTCATTACTCCCTTGCTATTTATACATTGGTAAACTGAAAACAAACAAGGGCATATTTTGTGCTTGTTAACTGAACCTGAAACGGAAACTCTGCACTGTCATGCAGCAAATGTGGCTAATTTTCTGGTACTTCTTTCCATTTTAAACCTCATTAAAATGCAAATTAGGCCTCTCTGTGTCCGCTCGAGTCTGTTATGTGCTCTGGATTCAAAGGCTTCCTGCGTTTAACGCCACCATTCAAAACGGTTCCATGGGGTTAAGCTGTATTTCACGTGTTCACACTACTCAATCAATGTTGTAGCATGGCTGATATGCTGTCTACATTTAAAATAGGGAGCCAAAGTCATTCACAACTTTATATCTAAAAACAGCACATTTTATAAGCATTACTACACTAGCTTCAACAAATTTGTGGCATTAAAGAAACATTTTGTTCCATTAAGTCAGTATTGGGCTTCTGAACACTGACTTGCCAAGCAGTGAGTATGTGCTTGGGGTGTTACTCATTTCTGGGTGTCACTTCATGATTTCAACACAACTCTTGTGAATATGAATTTTTCTGTTTTGACAGACTTCCTTCATAGAAAATGATGCAATTTTGATCCATTTGACAGTACATTAACTAATAATATGTTAAACAAATAATGCAGGAATTATTGACAGGAAAGGTGTGATTTGTGTCCCAACTGAATCCCTTTGATCTACTGCTGATAATTAACAACAAAAAATACTCACAAATACTCATTGTTAAGGCTTTAACTAACTAAAAAAAATTACATTTTAAAATAAAGAATTTTATTGTTGCATATACAGGTGCATCTCAATAAATTAGAATGTCGTGGAAAAGTTCATTTATTTCAGTAATTCAACTCAAATTGTGAAACTCGTGTATTAAATAAATGCAATGCACACAGACTGAAGTAGTTTAAGTCTTTGGTTCTTTTAATTGTGATGATTTTGGCTCACATTTAACAAAAACCCACCAACTCACTATCTCAACAAATTAGAATACTCCATAAGACCAATAAAAAAAACCCTACCAAGTATTGAGTACATGTACAGTATATGAACATACTTTCCAGAAGGCCAACATTTCACTAAAAATGTTTTTTTTATTGGTCTTATGGAGTATTCTAATTTGTTGAGATAGTGAGTTGGTGGGTTTTTGTTAAATGTGAGCCAAAATCATCACAATTAAAAGAACCAAAGACTTAAACTACTTCAGTCTGTGTGCATTGAATTTATTTAATAGACGAGTTTCACAATTTGAGTTGAATTACTGAAATAAATGAACTTTTCCACGACATTCTAATTTATTGAGATGCACCTGTATGTGCTTCTATATAAATGATTGCAAAATTGTTTACAAGAACACTGACTATGGTTATATATAGGGTAATATATGAGGGTAAAATTGTAAGCATAAGCCACTTGAGGTGTAAAAAAATAGTTGGGCACTAATCTGAATATTAGGGGTATTGAGTTGGTTTGAGTATTATTTATATTAGTGTTTATTAAAGGGATAGTTCACCCAAAAAAAATAACATTCTGGCATCATTTACTCACCCTCAAGTTGTTCCAAGCCTGTATGTTTTTTTGTTTTGTTTTTTTTACCAGTATTTTTACTCTAACAAAACAGTTGATGGTAGCCATTGATTGAGTTGCATAGTATTTTCCATACTGTGGAAGTCAATGGCTACCGAAAACTGTGTGGTGACAGAATTTTCATTTTTGGGTGAATTATACCTTTAATATTCTGAACTAGCTATTATTTTTACATTTTCAATTTGCATTAATTTTGGTTTGAGTAATTTTGTTATGTGCTTTTGTTATTATATATATAATTTACATATAGTTCATTTATTTATTTATTTTCAGTTTTTAGTAATTTAGGTACTAGTAACTTCATCTAATATTTATATTTTTTTAGTTTTAGTTATGGATAACAGTAATGTCTGACACTTTGGGAACATCTGATTTCTGAATTCAGCAGTAACCTTTTCATATGAAATGATTTCCTGAAATCTTACCTTGCCGAGAAAGGCCTTTGCCAGATCAGCGCAGGGCTGACTGAAGAAGCTGTAACACAGTCTGACGGACTCTCTCAATGAGAAATGAGGGCTGAGATGATGATCCACGGTCTTCGTGGCAGACTGACACTGGATGAGTCTCTTGAGAGGTTCACCATCAGTCTGATCGCTGGCAGATTCTGACTGAGGTGACAATGACTTCTTTCTTTTCCGTGTTGTCATTATAAATATTACAGAATATTAGGCTATATATTTTGCCAAACCATAAGCGGTTTGTTATGGACTTTTCTGTTTCTGCACAGTGCAAGATGTTTTAAATGCAAAATAAAATAACGTTAAGTCTAAAAAAGCACGCAATAAGATTACGTCCATATGATCATAAATGTATCGTGTCACTTTTTTTAGATCGATATTTAGCAAAACACTAAAAAAAAAGTTCCAGTTATTGCAGATTGTTTTGAATAAGTGTAAGTTAACTGCGGTCTTGAGGAAGAAAAACGCTTAAAAGTGTGTACTGTTTGTCTTTATATTGAGTATACGGAGTTGCAGCAGCTATTTCATCCTTTAGCTTTAGTTTCAGTCTAGCCCGGGTTTGTTTATCTTTGGCAAACGCAAAGTATTCTGGGACACTCTCTTAAAGGGCCAGTGACGTGTGTGGGACAGAAGGTTGTAGGACAGCAGGGTTGTTGGTTTTTAGTTGTTTGGTTGTTTTGATTGATCTTCGGTTGAAATCAGGTGCACTACGGTGCAAGTCATTTTCCCATTTCTCCCAAAAAAGTTTTGCATCTAAAGAAATGTGAAGAGCTTTTGGAAGTGTTTAAAATGATGTAGCCTACACTGACATTTCCTTCCTTAATTTCCTTGGCACCTAAGGTGTTCTATAAAGGTGAATAAAATTTATATCATGACTGAAGAGCACAAACAGTCCCAAATCCATTAGAGACAATCTTGAGCTGTGGCATGAAAAGCTTTTAAAGGGACAGCTCACTAAAAATAGAAAATTCGGTTATTTATTCACCCTCGTGTTATTCCAAACGCGTAAGACTTTTGTTCACACAATGAAGATTTTTAATGAAACCTGAAAGATTCCTGTCCCTCCACTGAAAGTCTACACAACCAAATCATTAATGTTTCAAGAAGTTCATAAAGAGGTTTTATTTATTTATTTATTTACTTATTTAACCAGGAAGGTCCCGTTGAGATACAATATCTCTTCTACCAGGGAGTCCTGGTCAAGATAGGCAAGGACAAAAATTACAAAGAAATACATATCACCAAACGATGAACAAACACAAAACACAATTTACAAAAAAACAAATTCTAATCAGTTTTTAAAACATGTACACTTCTATAAAAACAGACTTTAAAATGTTTTTAAACAAACGATATATTGGAAACAAGAGTAGTTATTCATCACACCAACTGATGCCAATATTTAATAACGATAATTAAAGTTGTCTATTAATAATAAATCAACAGAGAAATAACAATAAACTGATTTTATAACTGGAATATTATAGTAAAATAGATGTGGTTTAGTATATTCATTCTTTAAAAATACCTTTCATACTCTCCGTTCCTCAAGAATGCCAGAGATTTGTGAGATCTCAGAGGGAGTGAGTGTTTGTGGTGCTCAGAAACGTCTCATGGAGAACCACATGGGGATATTAATTGATCAGGTTATATGTAAGGTTAGGCTGTATGGCTTGAATAACATTATTATCAACCAACATTTTGTCTCTCGATTTAGGCAAACCATGATTTGGGCTATGATTGTTTTTTATAGGAATGTTCCAGAAATGATCCAGGAACATTTTTACTTGCGTGAAGTTGGACTTCATTATTTCTGTTGCTTTTTATGGCTAAGATATCAGATGTATACTTATAACAAATTTTTCTAAAACGTTACACAAGCGAATGTTCAGAGTTGGCATGAGTTTAAAGGGACAGCGTGACGCACAGTGGCTTTAATGGGGCTTACAGATTCAGGCAATAACTGAGCCACTCTCCACGGTCCCAGCATGTCTGTCATCGGTTGAAGCAGGCCGACTCCTGAACACCTGGCTGTTCGCCTGTGGATGCTCCCAGAGGACACAACCACCAGCTGTAAAGTTCGGTGAGACTGAAGAACAGACGACAAATGCCTGTCCCAGGCCTCCCATATGACTCATCTGAAGCCCCTCCAAAGTCTTTGAAGTGCTTACAATATGTTACTGTGCTTATAGGTAAGGCAGAGCAGAGTGCAGAGAGGTTGTATTATTATTAGTAGTAGTGTTTGCTAACCATATATTATAAAAACCCATTATATTATATTATATTATATTATATTATATTAGGCAAGGCAAGACAAGGCAAGTTTATTAATATAGCACATTTCATACACAATGGAAATTCAAAGTGCTTTACATAAAAGGAAGTAAAATAATCATTAAAAATAATCACAACAATAAAACAAGGAATTTAAAATGATTTCAAATGAATTTAAAACAGTTAAAAATAGAAAATGATTATACATAAAATACAGTGCAATCAGTTCGGACGTAGCACAGTGCTCATTCAATAAATGCACAGCTAAACAGATGAGTTTTGTTCTGCCATATGTACATTAACTGACAGTCACCACTGATAAGCTACCACTAAATATTGTAGAAACTTAATTTGCTGTAAAGCTGCTTTGCAACAATTTGTATTGTGCAAAGCGCTATACAAATAAACTTGAATTGAATAATATTATATTATATTATGTTGGCAGGAAGGCGTGCATTGGATGTACATTATCCACTTAATACATGGCTACTTGCCACAGAAGTAAATAAATGGACACAAAATATTGATTTGAGTTTCCTAGCAAGCGGCATTGCGCCAAGATGAACAAACAAGTTCAAACAAGACAAACATTTTAAAGGAATAGTTCACCCAAAAATTTTAATTTGCTGAAAATGTACTCACCCTCAGGCGATGAGTTTATTTCTTCAATGGAACTCATTTGAAGAAATCTAGCATTACATCACTTGCTCACCAATGGATCCTCTGCAGTGAATGGGTGCCGTCAGAATAAAAGTCCAAACAGCTCACATACAGTCATCAAGCATTTATTACAGTCAAATAAGCTGCAAAAACATAAACGACTGCTTTAACTTGTCAGTGCTGACAATGTGACCATGACATAAGTGGGAGACCCTCCGTTGGTTGACATGGTATCCAAACTCAATTCATCAGTGTGTAATTAGTGGTCACAACCTACTCTTACAGCTAATGTGCGTGTTTGAGTGTGTATATGCACTAGGGTTGCCTGCTTGTACGGTTAGGTAAGTCTCCCAGCAGGTCACAGGTCTGGAAGCCACTGAGATGCTCACACATTGCTGCTCTGATGTGTAATGGTGGCAGAAATAGAAAGGGGGCACACTGTTGGCTGTCAGTGTGTAAATCAATATGTTTAAGTAATTCAAGAATGCTATAAACATTCCGAGGTGAAATATGCTCATGGCTCATTTTTATGGTGCTGTGGCAATCAGCCAGAAGCTGCACCTCCAAGATCTTACACAAGATTGTGATTTGCGCTACTGTCTTCTTTATAATGAATCAGCATAATGTTTTAGCTCATTTGGGAATCAGTTAAATGTTTATGTTTTTTAAGAGTATTTATTTTGTTGTTGACATTTTTCTTCACCAAGCATGCATTCGTCTGTGCATTCTAGTAGTGCATGTATTAAGATATTCAGCTGAAGTTTCTCACAGGTGGCATTGTCTTGTAGGCCACTTCTCACTTCTTATATAAACTCATTAAAAAAAAAAGTCCCTTTTTCAGGATACTGTATTTCTGTTAGTAACATGTTTTTCATGCTTGTTCAACGAACCATAAACAGTTATTGCACATGTACCTGCCCTTAAGACACTAAGAGTTTACAGGTGGCAGGCAATTAAGGTCACACCCATAGGAAAGAAAAATCAAAAGTGAGATCTCAGGGTCTCTGATCACCTGTGTGATCTTATATACTTATTATTTTGTTGTGAATCTGGACTTGCTTATATCCAGTTTGCTTTCTTCTTTCAAAACAACAGTTCTTTCAACAGAACAACGAGACTGATAATAAAAGCAAGTATCCTAAAGGCTTTGCAAGACAGCTATTGAAAAAAGACACTGTATTGCCTTTCCACACTCCATTAAGCAGCGCCACCATTTGCAACTGTGCTAATAATAAAAAAATTCCCAAGCAAGCAGTAAATCGGCACATTAGAATAAACATGTGACAGTTTACTAATAAAACTTTTGGGTTGAATAATCTGCACGAATTTAATCATTTAACAAATTTAACATTCACTTTACTAGTAGATGTGATGCTGAAATGATAATAAAGAAAAACTTAATAAAACAAAGACATACAAGCTCATTATTTTAAACCGTGTTTTGACTGTGTTTTTAAATGTTTAAAAGAACAGGATTTTTAAAATTTTTTTATAATTGTTACTAAATTGTTTTGATCAACTGAATAGAAATATTAATTTCTTTAAAAAATATATCTGACTGACCTCAAACTTTTGAACGGTTGAGATTATATGAGATTATACATTAGCTTTTCAAGAGTGTCATTCATGACAAAAGTTATGATGCAGCATATTGTGCATCTATTTGGAGAACAATGAGGAGCATATATGTGTAACGCAGTATCTCAGTATGTGCTGAAGTGTTGGTCTGGGATGCTTATTGTCTGCTGATCAGAGCGTATGTGCTCTGAGGGCCGGTTGGCATCTGGATCGCGTCTGTCTGATGAGCCAAGGCAGGGGCCAGAGATACAAAGCGGCCTGACACGGCTGTTACTAAAGGCCAGAGATGTTTTGACTATGGCTGTGTCATGTATTATGTGCTTTGGCTGAAACCGGTTGGCATCTGGATCGCGTCTGTCTGATGAGCCAAGGCACACTGAAAAAAATAACTATTAAGATTTACTTAAAAAAATTTTGGTAACAAATTGCACGAACGGCCAGAGATGTTTTGACTATGGCTGTGTCATGTATTATGTGCTTTGGCTGAAACCATTGTTGGGATGCTTTGGCTTTGGTCTCACGTACATGTCATGAGGTGAGCTGGCAAAGACTTCTATCATCACCTAGTGATGAGATGACTGGCACAGAGAGCTCAGCCCCAGCTCTTCAGCAGGACATGTCTGTGACACACAGATGGATGCTCTCTACTGTCACGCTTCAGTGAAGCTCGCTGCTTATTACTGCAGTATGAGTCTTCAGCCCCTTCACACTGAGCTGTCACTTTAAGAAGGTAGAAAGACTTGTTCTTCTGTCTTGTATGTCTTTTTTCATGCAGCTCTAAATAGAAAGATTGGCTTAATTGATCTGAGTTTCATTGTTTCCTCTAAACTAGTGTGCATTGTTGCTCCCATGCAAATAGAAGGAAATATGTGCAGAAGGCAGATTAAATGTGCAGGAAAAGATATCACTTGAATGGATAGCGTTTCAAGTGGAGCCGATCTTGTTCATTTATTTTCAGTATGAAACTGAAGCAGATAGATTTATTTGCAAGATAAGGATCGTATCCTAGAACAGTAAAGGGTTTTTTATAGCAGCACCACAGGGAA